ATTTCCACCTTAATCGAAAATGCAGCCGCTGCAGCCGGGATTTGATCCCGCAACCTGCCGGTCAGCAGCAGAGTACTTTAGCCACTAGACCACCGCGGCGGGGCTAGTCGTATTTTTCGCTGCCTATTTGAAGAAGGAGGTGCACAAGGAAAACCTTGAGTGTCCTGGCAAGTGGCCTGGTGCTGGCTGTCACCACGTGGCATTTCTAGCCGCCTTATATGCACAGTGAAGCATGCGTCTCCGAACAAATGGTTGAAAGCATGCATGTAAATAATGGCGCTCCTTTGATCCATATGGGGCACTCTGGGAAAGAAAAGGTTGATGTCAACTACCAAAAGTCAACTACCAATAGAGGGAGCAGATCACAGATTGCTGGAAGAGGGAAATAAAATAAGAAAATAAAACTAGTGTAAAAAGGATCATTGCTGAATACGTGTTGGCAGATAGGTCATCCACTGAAATACCAGCATTATTCGAGTTTGATATTCGAGAAGATAATGACACACATACTACCTGCTCGTAGTCCTTGTTTAACTTTACACCCTCGTAGCCTCCAGTAACATAGGTCGCCAACTCGACTAATCAGTAATTCTGTCAATTCACAAGGTGTCCTCGCATTTTAAAGAACTAAGAATACGCGTAAGTAGTGCCTGGTATTTGTGGCAACAATAAAAGAAGTTGTAAAGCTGTTTTCAGACAGAAAGTACGTCTCGAAGAAAATATGAGAAGGTAAGCTTGCGGAAACTGTCACCAATATCGAGGGAGCTCAACCGTTCTCAGGAACATTATAAAACCATATTTTTCATACGTATAAAGTTATCATATCTACCACTTAGATTCTGATTTTATCCGTAATCAATCAGGGAAGGCTGCTGTCTACACATCCACTTTGTTAAGGTTATGGTCGTAGTGTGCGACGAAAACGTCTCAGTCATGAAGCAAGGACATTCTTAGTATTTTTTAAAGATTGCTAGCTAGACGAGCCCATAGTTCTGTTCGATAATATATAGGGCGTGTAGGTTGCGTGCAATTATCATTTAATCAAGTCAGCGTTGAAATACCGTGGGCATTACTCACTCAAGTACGGGCACCGCATATCTTATCTGATACTCGGAATAAATCTCATCACGCTCGATATTTTCGTGCCAACTTTCTCATATCAGCTTTGCGTTAAGCAGGTAGCACATATTCCTTCTGAGGGCCATACCCGATAATAAACCTCATCGTTTTTCTTCAGACACCATTCCGTGCTCTTCCCAATATATGCCGAACCACACAAAATTTCGTTCGATGCAGCGATCATTTCATGCAACTGGAGCAACGAGACGGTTAGAGAATACAAACAGGACTGTCATTTCCTTCACACTCGCCAAATAAAACGGTTCACGACCAAGATACGTACCTACGTATTCTAGGCTTATGAATAAATGCTTCAGCGGAGAAGGTTTTTCGTATTTGTGGTACCTGTCCTGGCCTTGTGAAGCCCGCACGTGAAATTTCACGTGATTACAGTGCACGCGATATAGTGGCCTTTGATGTCGATCGCAGTGGCGATTTCCTTCTCATAGAGCTTGGACCCACTTGGGGGATTCACTGCGCACCGCTCATGAAATGTTGAAAAATCTTCGGAATAAAAAAAAGACTGAATAGAAAAAAGTAACTATATAAAAGAGATTGTATTATTTTTTTCATTACTTTACGCTCCTGGTAAGATTCCACAACTTGACGCTGATCTTAAGGACCTTGTTGTTTTCAAAACTACAAGATCGTGTGCTGACATTGAGGTAAGTTCCTTGCTGATCTTATATATGCCGGCTGAATTCTCTGCTTTTCAACAAAGATTTCTCTCTCTCCACCTTGCTGATCAGAAATTTTCGTTACGCTAAGATGACCAACACGCAAAGTGTTGTATACACCACAGTGTGCAATACACTTAGCAAACGCTTACTTAGGAATAATTTAGAGCTGTCCCATAGTAAAGTATTCAGTACTTTGTAAATTTTTTCCGTCTTACACATATTACTTTCAGTTGCCTTCTATTTCTACCTTTATGACAGCTAGTAGCTGAAACGCAAGTGATGGAAACTGACTGGGGCCATGACAGCCGTCTACTTACTTACAAAGTGTTAACGTTAATTTGAAGATATCGTTTTTTTTCGCTCTGCTTTCCGCTCTTTGTCCTCGGCTTGGGTTGGACATCGCAAAGAGCCCGTGCAGCTTCACTCGGCTATTATTTCCGTCAGAAAGCCCAGGTGATGGTCTCACCGCTTGCTCGTTAAGCATTTCTATTCATTCATTGCTTTATTGCTAAAGTTCAAATGTTTTTCGGCATTATAGGTATCTACCTTAAACGTGTTCCGCCCATTTCTTGGACCATCCCCCTTTGTGTGGGAGCTCCACCAGGAAGCAATTGTCATTATTGTGATGTCGTGGTTTCGTTTCCGGTTTCGGAGCCGGCTGGATGGCACCTAGAGGGCATTGTACATATGTATATATGTACAATGTCCTCTATACGTACAAAGCAGGAAATTGTCAAGGAAAGGATCTATGATAATACTCGGGGTAGTTGTCTACTGTTTGAGGCCAGGACGGGAGTATTGCTAACCAAGACATATCGGGCCAAATACGAATGGCTAGACATGGTATGCAGTGCATGTGGACAGGAGGAGCAAACTGCCGAACACTTGATAATGTTGTGTAAAGGGCTTCACCCTATAGTTCAGGATGACGGCGCAGAGTTTTTCAAAGCACTGGGGTTTATGGAGAAAGAGGGCAAAATAGACTTTAAGGGGGTAGAATTAACTAGAATTGATGAATTGATTGATATGTGGGGTTTAACGTCTCAAAACCACCATATGATTATGAGAGACGCCGTAGGGGAGAGCTCCGGAAATTTCGACCACCTGGGGTTCTTTAACGAGCACCCAAATCTGAGCACGCGGGCCTACAACATTTTCGCCTCTATCGGAAATGCAGCCGCCGCAGCCGGGATTCGAACCCGCGACCTGCGGTTCAGCAGCCAAGTACCTTAGCCACTAGACCACCGCGGCGGGGCAGAATTAACTAGAAGGAGGTCATCTGATTGGTGACTAAAGTGAAGGCACCAGTGAAAAAAATATTGGCCCCGAATCTGCATGTTACACTGCAAATGTCGCCGAAAGAGTCGCGTCTGGAGAGAGTGCGTCTGGAGAGAGTCGCGTCTGGAGAGAGTCGCGTCTGGAGAGAGAGCAAATGTCGCGTCTGGAGAGAGTGAACAAAAGGTTTATTTGATGTTCTGCGCAAGAAAATTGGTGAATGGTATTCAGGAGGTGCTGAGTTAGAGTGCCTCGAGCGTGTAGCGGAGACAAACGAGCGCATCAAGGGACGTTAGACACGAGCGCCATCTGGCAGTTAACTTCGAAAACGTAGGCATGCGCGCTCGCGGAAAAAGATGCGCGCCTGCCTCGGAGGGGATAAGGTGTAGAACGCAAAGTGACGGGCAGCTGCCACCACCGTGTCGTCGTAGCAAAGCGTTGGAAACTTACCTTTTTGAGCATCGCGTTGCACTGTCAGCGCAGCTCGATAAACGCTACAGTCCTTAGAGCTACTTGTGTGTGCCTTTTCCAGTATAAAGGCACACATAAAAAACATCGACGTCTTGTTATGGCGCCTCAGATATGCACAATAATTGCTTTTTACTTGACAATCGCACAACTATGAACGCTGAAACTTAAACAATATTGGTTGGCGCTGTGGATGGGGTCGGCCGCTTAATGCTGTTTGAGGTATCGTTAAAGGCGAACAAACAGACAGACAGACAGACAGACAGACAGACAGACAGGCAGGCAGGCAGGCAGGCAGGCAGGCAGGCAGACAGGCAGGCAGGCAGGCAGGCAGGCAGGCAGACAGACAGACCAAAATTTTTCTGTCGATGGTCCCCAAGAAAACTATCATCTTTAATTAAACCCTTCACTGCAAAGTACCAGTCCTCAACTTCACCATTTAAGAAAAAAAAACATAAATCTAGTTTTTGATTCACCAAGTATTACGGCGCTAGGGGGCGTTAGCCGACGCCCGATCTAAAGGGTGCAGCCATATCAATCTATCCATCCATTCATATGAGCCATACTTGTGTACATAAAGAGAGTTTCTTCCCGGATCACGTGTGTGCCACTTTATCCTCCTTCCTGGCCCGCGCTTCAAGCGCCGGGCCTCGCGTTCTCTCTGTGTCGCATCCGATGCACAATACAAAAATCATCATCATTATCGTCATCATCACAGCTACACTACAATTATTGTTATTTTTATGCATGAGATATGACATGTATCCAACACGCTGATGAGTACAAAATGGAGATGTGTTTTTTATATTTTCTAGCCACACGTGTGTTACTCGTTTTTGCCTATTCAGGAAGTTGTCAATTGATGATACGCCAGCTCCTGCATTGTGCGCTTTTACACTAGAGTAAACAATTCAAACGATGTCACAGACGAATGCTGGAGAACTGGCTAAAAGCCTTTTGGCAAGTTCAAACACAACAGTGTCTTCCGCGTTTAATCGATCACTACCGACTTGCTCCATATATATGAAGCGTACTTGTATGTCTGACTTAGTTGTAGCCAAAAGTATGTATAACAAGCAGCAGACACGAAAAACTGCGTAGAACCCATTTCGGAAAGTAAAGCGCGTGGGAGAAGCCTCAACAGCGTATAAAATTATTTAAACGGTTGAAACAAAAGCGCGTGTCACATGAACATGTTTATTAGAACTTTAAATGAACAGATGCACTTAAAAAAGGAAGAAAAAAGAAAAAGAAGATCAGTGTAAATGGAGCAGTACCATGACGTGCCCGCAGCCTTAACTGCATCAGCAGGGTCCAGTTACCTTCCGGGTGTTTTGGTGCAGCTTCGCTTTGAAAGAGCACAGTGTTTACAGGGCTGAGGAGTGACTCACCCCAGAAAGTTTTGGCATGTTTAAGTAAAGTAAAAAAAGGTAAAACAAATGCCCAGAAGAACTGAACTTAGAAGTGCTCCATAATGTCCCCTTCATCGGTAACATCCGGGAGGTTTGTGGCTGACTTGACGCTGGAGCTGACTCCGGCATACAGGGTGGCATGGGTTATGCCGATGGCCATGAAGATGCCAAAAGACCACTTCATGGCGGACATAAAGTCCGCGGTGTACAGGAGAAGGAACGTCACGAACACCAGTGCAGTTATCCTCTCGTTCTTGCTGAGCATTATCCTTGTGCCCCACACAGCCGTAACATCGTCGTCTTCGTAGACCTTGAGGGCAGCGCCCACGGCGGCTATCACGGCCACGCTCATGAAAAGCTGGATGCTGGAGATGACGTAAATTGTCAGGACTATGAGGAAAATGATGCCGTAGTTCGTGCGGAAGTGGTTCGCGTTCGACTGAATCCTGTTGGTCATCTCTTGGGCCGACTTCGGAATCGAAACTTTGGCGGTGTCAGTGAAATGATCCCATGGCTGCACTCGTTTGAGTTGCTCATCGAACCAGGTCAAGACGAAACCTCGAAAGTCGAAGCCTTGCTTTTTGGAAGACGAAAAGAGGCGCTTCTGTGGAAACGCTGGGGTAGGCGCTGGTGCAGTGGCTGGGGCATCACCCGCAGACTTTGGGCTGGAGTTCAGCAACCATCCGACATCGCCTTGTTCACGGTCCATGGCTTCTCGCTGTTAGTAGCAATGTTTGCAGGCCTGCTTGAGTGATGGTACGTGGTAGCTCCACCGGACAGATACTCTCGGCAGACTCGGCAGGCTCTGACGTAGCTCTTGACGCGTGCAGCGCCGCAATGAATCACGTTATTCCAGCGCCCATGAACGTGCTGAGCTCACGCGTTTTTGAGGCTTTTCTTTTTCATCATTGTCAAAGGAGCCTAGTATGAAATGTTTAGAATGCCTCAGTTTGTATTTTACTTCTGGAAAGACTTGTTATGATTTTTAAAACGAAGCTGTATATAGCTAGCTGAAATGCAAATTCAAACATCCTGCTAACTGGTACACGCCACAGAGGTATGGCAAGCCCTGCTGTCACGATTCGTCATTTAACAATGAAGAAGTGTTTCGAGGCAAGATAAATGCTACACTTTCTGATCTGAATGGCGAAAAAAAAAAGAATTTTTGCACTAAGTACTTGTTTTCTTCTTTTTTGTTATCAATATTCATTACCTAAAATGTCTAAAAATTTCACAAAGACAATTCTTGGTGTATCTCCTGAGTGGGTATGAGCCATGAGTGAGGCATAATAATCATTATAATAACCAAATACGTCAGTGCTACGTAAATTGGGTAAATCTCGCTATTCACTACTGGTCCTTTTAAGATAAGAAGTGAACCCAGACGGCAGGCACCAATTAACATTTCTTTACGAGGATTTCCACCCACTGGTGGCTTATTTTAAAGCAATAAATGTTTTATTCTCTATCTCTTTAGAAATACGCAACCAGCAATAGAAAAAGGCTTTAGTGAACTCTCGGGAATAATCCAGTTTCATGTTCGCTAATTGAGCGAACATGAATGTTTCATGTTCGCGAATTAAGTTTCATGTTAGCTAATTAGCGAACATGAACTACGTTTCATGTTCGCTAATTAACCATTCGTATGGAATGCTTTGGCTTTGATTTTATTATCTTCTTGGTGGTTTTTCTTTCAGGGTGCTGCTGTGTCTCTATGTTTTTTATTTTTCTTGCATGCATGCACGCATATGTCGTTCTTTTATTGCATCACAGAGGAATAACCTTGTGACTTAGGATGTAATTTCTGGGACACGCAGGTGACGACAACTGCCGCTAGTGTCATAGTAAAACTCACCCCAGTAAAGGAACGCTTCAAGCTTGGTGAATGACGCGGGCAACTTCTATGTATGGAGATAAATTTGCGCATTAGGCAATATGCAGGTGCATTCGTGGTTTGGCGAGCATACTAAAGGTGCGATTTCCAGAAGTTTTCCCAATTCGCACGCTTCACTGTGAAGTGATTACATACTCGAGGGCAGCCGTGTACACTGTGAACGCCACAACTGATTTGTATCACGTTCAGCAAGTCATCATGTTAGAAATAGTAGGGGATTGTCCGCTTGTGGCTTCCGCTTATCACAACTGTCTTTTTGTGTAGATGATAATCTGAAGGACATAATAAAAACAACAATATCTGAACGTTTACGTCCAAAACCCACAGTATCATCATGGGTGACGCTTGTATATAGTGGAGAACGACAGAAATTTCGGCCATCTGGTGTTCTTTACTACGCTCTGACATCGTACAGTGCGCAGGCCTCCACCATTTCGCTTCCATCGAAATGCGGTCACCATAGCAGGGACCCAACCCGTGATCTCCGGGTAAGGAGCCGAGCACACTAGCCACTGATTCACCAGGGTGGAGAATACGGAGGTCAGTCCATGCTAATACTAGCATGGCACAAAAATTGCAGCATTATCTACCAGTTTGATTCCATGAATATTTCAAGTGTTTTTCACTGAACTCTTTTTTCATTGGACATACCCATATGCCCAGCAATCTTAGAGTTTTGTACTCCATGCCTGCAATCAAAAGAATCACATCGAGTTTCCCGGTAAACATAGGCCGGAATTTCTGGAATGCTTACTTACCCGGAATGCTAGCAATTTGCCTGGAATGCTTGCTTACCTGGAATGCAAGCAGATTCTAGGCACCAACATTTCAGACGACAACCACGGTGGTACAGTGGTTATGGCGCTCCACAGCTGACCAGAAGGTAGCGGCATTGGATACCGGCCGCTGTGGCCGCACATCTATGCAGGCGATACGATAGGGGCCCGTTGTCCTTAGGTGCATATTAAAAAACACAATGTGGTTGAAACTCAAGGAGCTCTTCCCCATCGCACCCCTTAGAATTACATGGACGTGCAGCCGTGAGAATGAAAAGGTGACAGTCGGCGTATTCAAGATAAATGTCCTTATTTGGCTCAACTTGGGCCCAGGAGACTGAAAAGCCTGAGCACAAGCAACGCATACACCGAGAGTAGCAAGTACTGTCATCGGTCATCAGTAACCTGATCAACAGAAAGTGCGTCGACATTTTGTACTTTTCGCATCGAAGATTACACCGTTATTGTTGGTGGCTGTGCCAGATTCATGATAAACTCTACTGTTCGCATTCCACACTCAAGCTTCGCAGCAGATTTTTTTTTAAATAATCAGGAAGACACTAACACATTGGCGTGAGGTGGTTACACAAGACTTTGGTTACAGATCTGAAATACCATCTACACAAAGATACAAACAGAAGCATGCGTGGCAATATCATGGTTTTGTGATGTAAACCCACAACAATTATTAGCACATTCCAGATATCTGAAAGTATAATTTCATGTTGCAACAACACCTTTTCAATAAAAGTGGAGTTGTTAAATTTTTTCGTTGCTGCGTGTGGTTCTCATGAAATACATTGCCATGACGTCACTGTGCGTTGCATAGCAACCTCCTCACCGAACTAAGTCTCGCATTTGCGGCTCCGGTACCTACGGCTCCGGTAATGTACCGCTCCGCTAAGCTGCTACTCCGTTTAACCATGACGTCTCTTCAATCACCCCACAACCACCTGGCTTAGCCTCCCGGCTGCTGTGCCCCTACTTCGCCGAGTCACTTGCGCCCGGCGCGCTCTCTCTCTCGTTGCACTGATTTGTCGGCAAGGGTTGCAATAACTCGGATGGATAAGAGAACAATTGCAGAGCGAGAGAGGGAGAGAGAGAAGTGAGAAAGATGAAAAACGTGAGAGAAAGAATATAAAGAGACAGAGAGTAACAAATATAATATCTTCCGCAAACCACGATATGATTATGAGAGACGCCGTAGCGGAGGGCTCCAGAAATTTTGACCGTCTGTTGTTGTTTAGCGTGCACTGATTTCGCCGACTGCGTGGTCCTCCGCCATTTTGACTCCATCACAATGTGACCACCCCACCGATTCCAACCCGCGACCTTCAGGTCCGCAGCCAAGCATCGTAACCACGGTTCTACGCACAGAATCAGATAGAAAGGAAAAAATGTCAACAAACATAAAAAGACAGAAAACAAAAAGCAGTTATAGAAACTGATAGAAATAAGCGTACACGAAAAGTAGAAGAATATAGGCAGCAAAACAGAAAAAAATGAAATAAAGAGAATAATTGAGAGAGACAGAGAGAAAGAAAGGGAAATAAGGAGTGAGGTTAACGTTGTGAGGCTGAGGAGGAGGGCAGAGATGAGAAGGCCACCAGCTCCGCTGTTTTCACAGCTTTCGCACCAGCTAGCACCAAGCTGCCCAATGTTTTTTTTTTTATTTCTCCGACACCCTCCCTCTGAAATTGTCAATATTTGATAATAACCAGCAAAATAGACGATTTCTACAACGCAGCTGGACGCAGTCGCATAGAATCTATTGTTGGAACTATTTAATAGCTATTCATTCTAGGTGAATTCACACTCTCTAGTAGCAGTTGAATTTTTTAACTATCATTGTCCACCTGACTGTGGCTGATCCTTTGATTTGTTTTGTCGCCTATAGGGGACTGGCTCATACCTAAGAGGAGATCGGCCTCAGTGCGAACGGAACATAATGAAAAAAACTTTATTTCAGTCCTGCAGGACGCGCTTAGCGCGTAGCGGGCGTCTCCCACTAGAGACCGACAAGGAGTACCTGGCGGCCGCTTCGTGGGCCTGCTGGACGGCCCATTGCTGGTCGGCGAGAAGTGAGCTCCTGAGGGACCTCTCCCACTTGCTTGAGCTAGAGTCGGGAGGAGCTGTTCTACACTCCCAGAGCATGTGTGCGAGTGTCGCTGTGTGTCCACATGATGGGCATGTGTCGCTGGGGTATGCATGAGGATAATAAACGTGAAGCGTGACAAGGATTGGGTACGTGTGTGTCTGTGATCAGTGTGAACTTCAAAGAAAATGCCTGAGAGAGTAGGTGTCAATCACACCAAGAATTCCATCATCGTCAACATCAGGCGAATGACTCATACTCATTTTATCATTCTGTATTTCGGTATAGCCACAACGTATAATTTGGAACGGACACTTGGTATCAGGAACTGTTGGAAAACTCAGGGGATCCACGAACTAGTGCTAACCTCACAGCCGATCACTTGATAGCACGTCGGGGTTCAGTGGTGCGTTGCTGCAGGATCGTTTGATAAAGATGGAACTGCTGGGAAGAATTGAGTCCGGGAGATCTTGGTGTCAAATTTCTAAATTAGCATCATTAATTCATTTGAACTATTCTATAACGCATTAGCCATACCAATGCTATGTGATCTCTTTTGTCTATAAGTTATTCCGTTTCTTGCCGACCCTCCAGAATGGGTGCGAGGCATACTTACAATGCTATCATCATCATCATCCGTCATCACCATCATAGCTAGGAAGAAAAAGACAGCGCCTGCACGCGCCACGAGACTCACGTGCTTCTCATCGAGCGCTGCTGAAATCTGAACAGGTCAAGTTCAAGTGGCATCTTTTTGAAACGTTTCTTTTACTAACACTGCTTTGGTATGCCGCGTGTGTCGTTGCAGGAATGCTTCACTGCCTAAACACACCCTTTACATAAAAGCTGCCTTGAAGCCATAGGCTGGAAGTGGTTGAAGAGTGTAGAAATGAGCGTTTATGCGCCACTGTGTAGGCGACGAGGCGACTCGTGGTCTGCGAAGT